TGCTGTGTCTCCCAGAACATTCTCAAGAGCTTGGAGGAGATTCTAGGAGAGCTGGACAGGGCTGTAGAAAGTCCTTAACCCATCAGCAGGACTGGTATCCGCTCCTTTTTTGCAAGGAGGAACAGAATGAGCATTGCCAGAGCCATACAAAATGACCAAAGAATCAGAAACTGACTTCATGAGGGTGCTCACTGCCCAGCACCATAGAGTTCGTTTGGCATTTGCCATTGAACACCAGAATTGGCAGGTCCTTTGCTGGCACCCTGTGATTTTCATAAATGAGCAGGTTCACCCTGAGCTCATGTGAAAGGGTCTGGATAAGCTGTGGAGAACGTTATGCTGTCTGTAACATCATTCAGCATGACCATTTTGGTGGTGGGTCAGTGATGGTCTGGGGAGGCATATCTATATGGAGGGATGCACAGACCTCTACAGGCTAGACCAGGGGTGTCAAACTGGTGGCCCTCCAGCTGTTGCAAAACTAAAAGTCCCATTATGCCTCTGCCTTAAGGAGTCGTGCTTCTAATTGTCTTGCAATGCCTCATGGGAATTGCAGTTTCAAGTCAGCTGGAGGGCTGCCAATTTGACATCCGTGGGCTAGACCATGGCACCCTGACTGCCATTCGGTATTGAGATGAAATACTTGGACCCTTTGCTGGTACAGCAGGTCCTGGGTTCCTCCTGGTGCATGACTATGGCCAGCCTCTTGTGGCAAGAATATGCAGGCATTTCCTGGAGGATGAAGGAATTGATACCATTGAATGGCCCCACACTCGCCTGGCCTAAATCCAATCGAGCACCTCTGGGATGTTTCGGTCCATCTGACACTGCCAGGTTGCGCCAAAGATTGTCCAGGAGCTCAGTGATGCCCTGGTCCAGATTCTTTTTTTTTTTTTTTTTTTTTTTTTTTTTTTTTTTTTTTTTTTTCCCCCCACACAAATAGCTTTCTTTTGGTGGTATTTAATCACCACTGAGTTTATTTTTTTACTAAATAAAACACCTGAAACTTTTGAGAACATTTGTGTTTGTTTTGTGTACATTATGATTGCTAATACCAATGTGTTTCATTGATATTTGCAGTCATTGTTACTGAATGAAACTGATTCATTCAGTCTTTTGTTTTGATTAGCTGAGATTGGGCAAAGCTGATCACATGATATAGATGAGCTGTGAATGGCCTTATCTGTATCATGTGACTGCTTTGACCAATCATGGCTAACAACGCAATTTTGTATACAATGGATGGCATGGCAGGAAGCCATCCATTGTATACAATTGACATGTGATCTACTGTGATTAGTCACATGACACTGGCAACGGGACGGTGTAGTGATATATGTAATCGGCTGCCTCAGCGAGTGTCCTGCCCGGCTGTCATGCTGCTATAGGCCAGGTGGGAAGGTGTTAACTTGAAAGGGAGTTGGGCCTTAGAGAACCTACTATAAAAATAGTGGTATGTTAAACAAACCTTACCCCCCCTCTCTCCTTTCAAATGATCAGTCTTCACCAGAAGGAGAAGAGATGGGCAGAGACAGAAGCTAAAACACTTTAACAGAGTGAGGAATGGTTGGGTTTCACTGTCTGCTCCTACCTGTCCTAGAGATAGCAGTGTTATCTCATTACTTGTTTTAGTGTTGGAGAGAAAGTTAAGGGAGATCTTTGTAATGGAAATAGAAATATTAGGGGAATGGAAGGCAATAAAAAAAAGAAAATGGGGTTTTAAAGAATGATGTAGCTTGTCACTCACTGCTTCATAGGCTGCTGTGATCCTTTTGGCAAAAAGCTACATTTTTGCATGTCTATAGAGGTGATGGACTGAAGTAAGCCTTGAATTATTCCTTATGGGGTGTTTTTGGTTTTTTTCCTACCTATCAAATAGGTCCAGTAATGTTTACTATCTAGATTCATAAAATATGAACGGTTTGAGTTTTTCAGGACTGGTTTTGGATAGATGTTCTAGCTAGTTAGTAATTACATAATGGCGTGCTCCCTAATTCTGCACCTCCAGTGCATTATAGGAGATAATTTGAAGTTTGTGCTAGCTGTTTACATTGTTCTGCTGCTAGCTTTTTTATTTGGAAGGACTGTTATTCAGAATTTGCTTCAAAATCCTTCAGTTGCACATGCTGAACAAAAAAACTGTAACATTTAGAGCTGCTTTTATAAGGAGGGTGGAGGTAGAGGATTTGATCCATATACAGTCAGGCCGTAAATTGTTTGCAACCCTTTATATTCACATGTATATAGATTCGTTTGGTTTTAATGGCTTTTAGTTTGTCTGGAAGGTCTGTTTTTCAGAATTGCTTCAAAGCCTTCAGGTGGCACATGCTGAACAAAAAACTGTAACATTTAGAGCTGCTTTAGATTTGATCCATATATGTTGACTTTCCTTTCTTGCTTAAGGATTAGTTTAACCATTTGACTGGTTAATGCCTGGGTCAAAGGTAAAACATTTTAGCATTCAGTTGTAGTAAAACACGGGTCCAGGACAAACATTAGGATGACAATCCTCAAATCTAAACCGTGACCGTTCTTGTAAAAGGGCAATGTTAATGAACTCTATTTTTAATACTGGTGAGTTGGCATTCTAAATCGAACGTACAGTTTACTGTATACTGCTACTGAAACGTGATATCTAGGTTATTGGATAGTAGTTGCATTGTATTACCTGTAGCATTTTGTTCTCTTGGTTAAGACCTCTACATTATTGGCCAATATCATGGAGGGCTAATAATTGTAATTACTATTTCAATATAGTGCAAAGAGTTCAAAATTACTATTGTCACTAGATTTCCTATTTTGAAGCACAAGAATGCACTCTCATTTTTATGGTTGTTACACTCTACTCGAGTACATGTACTTCTAATTAGTGGTAGGAATAAGTGAAGACTTTGTTGTATGTACACACTTGCATATAGATCCCATTTTCCAATTTGATTTAATTGGAAAATTGTGTGAATATTGGGTTAAAAAAAGATACATGGACCCCGGCATGTGATACATGATCGGTCTGAGAGTGCGGACAAGGTTGGTTATTGGTTTTGGTCTTGTTTCCATGGAAAAAAAGTGGCAGCATTAAGGTTTGGAAAGATGAGGGGTTGAATGGAGTTCAAAGTTTGGTCTCTGTGTTCTGCAATGACACAAAGCATTGCTCTATGGAAGCTGAGCCATGTAGAAAAATGTTTATTGTAAATTAGCAGTTTTAATTCCCTGCACTGTTTATGTTCATAACAGCACAGAGCAGTGGAATCCTGAAAAGCACACTGTTGGCTGACTGTTTTGATGGAGCTGTTGGATCCCAGACTTTAGGTCATTGGAGCCTTTGTTCATCTTTCCAGTCCAGAAGCTAAAGAGAAGCGCCCCCCCCTGTCACTGGTAACTGGGTTTAACTCTGGAAATACTTTTGTTATGAGCAATAGTATGCCCTGTTTGTATGCCTCTAAGTAAAGGTGTGCAATCTTCTGCGCGGTTGATGAGGCACCAGGAGCAGACTGACAATTTGAAAACTCAGGCACTGTCTGGGGTCAGTAGGGGGCCCCATGAGATGCCCCTGGTTCTTTTTTTTTTTTTTTTTTTTTTTTTTTTTTTTTTTTTTTTTTTTTTTTTGTCTGGGCAAGGACACAGGGGCCCCATGATTCCCTATCGCCCGGGGGCCCCATGAGTTGTCAGTCCACCCCTGGGAGGCACATTAAGATTCAGATTCTTCCTTGAATAAGAGCAAGATTTCTTTAAGATGGTATAGTCCCCGAAAGATTCCCTCTTTGGGTGATGATGAAGGCAAAAAAAGTAAAATAGTAGAGGTAGAAGCAAACTTCCTCAGAGTTTGACCCCCCCCCCCCCCCCCCCCCCAATCTGAAACTGGTTCCTTTTTTGTAGTTGAAAGAGGCTTGAAATGAGATACCAATGTAATTCTGTCTGTAAGACCGTGTACAGCAGCCAGAGTCCTGCGGCTGTGAGACAGTCGGCTTCCATGTGATAAGCTGTAGTTTAAGGTGTACTTACTCCTGCCCCTTGCCAACTCTTCTGGAAAATGTGGTCTGTTCACTCCATGTCTGAGCACAGAAGTCCTACCATCATCCAAGTTCAACAAGGCTTTTCTTCAATAGGTTGGATAACTGAACTGCAGGACCCTGCCACCTTGTGTTTAATTAACCTCCTATAACTAGTATTAATGCAGTGTGATATACTAGGGCTAGCTTTAAGATTTACAGTGGTGCCAGATGGGGTTATGATCCTTTTTTTCTCTACTCCAGGTAAACAATACAGGCTGGTCCAGGCCCTGTGACTGGACAAACAAGAAGCTGCATCAGACAGATGAGCACATTTCTGGTCTCTGTTTTTCTTGACCATCAATGTTTTTTATGTACCCATCTTGTAATTCATAACAGCATTTATTGGGTTGACAGATTCAATACAGCCATAAGTATCTCCTCTTTGTTGCTGCAAAGCCTCTTAAAAATGCGATTTTGGTCAAATGAAACCATGATGGTTCACGAACTGTAGAGAAATATAAAACAAGGAGTAAAAAGGTTTGGGGCAGTAAATAGAAGGGGATAAAAATGGTAGATGGAAAACTGACATCTATTTACACAACTCTTTTGGAGTTGGTACACGTTTTAGCTGTAATTTAGTGTATAACATAAATTATGGCATTTTACGCTTTTGTTTGTGGGATTGGTGCATTCTGATTTGTGTGTGAGTTTTATTAAAATCTCTTTACTGATTCATAATTTATATAAAAGAAACTATCCATTGCGTTATCTGTAACATCCTCCAATCAGTTTGCCTTCACTCCTATTTTAAATTATCTATAAAGTAACAATAGACTATTCCTTCTCCTCCAGCAAGGTAAATTATCACAACATACATATTAAAGCTGTATTGAACTTCTTAAAAAGCTGTTTGCATACTTCATACGTGCCCATTTCTATCATTTCAAATCTGAAATCTGTTTAGTTTTTTTTATGAATGCTAGTAAAAATTTTGATTTGTCATTGCAGGTACACTCGTAATCTGGTAGATGAAGGGAATGGAAAGTTTAATCTCATGATTCTCTGCTGGGGTGAAGGACATGGCAGGTAAAAAAAAACTAATTCCAGAAATCCATATAATTTACTATGCTACAATTTCACTTGATTGAACAAAGTAGATTTTAAAGCCAAAACGCAGCTCCCCCTTGGTTACTTATTACTGTGCAAAAGTCTTAGGCAAGTGTGAAAAAAAACAAAACTGTAAATTTAGTGCTTTCAGAAGTAGAAGTGTTTTTTTTTTTTTTTTTTTAATTTTTTTTTTTTTATTTTTAGTACAGAATCAGGTCAATTAAACTCCTGGGATATTGATCTGGTCAGTTAAGTAGCAGAGGGGGGTGTTGATGAAATTAACAAATGCACTAGCTGGGCAACAATAAGATGACCCACAAAACAGGAATGGTTTTACAGGTGGAGGCCATTGACTTTCCCCCCCCCCCCCCCCCCCCCCCACCCCCTCCTACTTTTCTGACTGTTTTTCACTAGTTTTGCATTTGGCTAGTGTCAGTGTCACTACTGGTAGCATAATGTGATATCTGGACCCCACAGAGGTTTCCCAGGCAGTCAACACCTCCAGGATGGCACATCAATACATGCCATAGTCAGAAGGTGTGCTGTGGCTCCCAGCAGTCTCAAGAGCATGGAGATTCTAGGAGAGCTGGGCAGGGCTATAGAAAGTCCTTAACCCATCAACAGGACCAGTTTCTGCTCCTGTTGTGCAAGGAGGGACAGGGTGAGTACTGTCAGAGCCCTACAAAATGACCTCCAGCAGGCCACTTGTGTGTCTCTGATCAAACTGGCATCATGAGGGTGGCCTGAGGGCTAAACTTCCACTAGTGAGCCCTGTGCTCACTGCCTGGCACCCTAGAGCTCGATTGGCATTTGCCATTTGAACACCAGAATTGGCAGGTCTGCCACTGGTGCCCTGTGCTTTTCAGATGAGAGCAGGTTAATGAACTGTGGAGAACATTATGCTGCCTGTAACCTTTGTTCAGTATGACTGTTTTTGGTGGTGGGCCAGTGATGGTCTGGGGAGGCATATCCATGGAGGGTCACACAGACCTCTACAGGCTAGACAACACCTTTACTGCCATTAGGTATCTGGATTAAATCCTTGGACCCATTGTCAGACCCTACGCTGGTGCAGTGGGTCCTGGTGTATGGCAGTGCCCAGCCTCAGGTGACAGAATATGCAGGCAGTTCCTGGAGGATGAAGGAAATGTTACCATTGAGTGGCCCTCACTCTCCTGACCTAAATCCAATAGAACACCTCTGGGATACCACAACGCCAGGTTGCACCTCAGACTATCAAGGAGCTCAGTGATGACCTGGTCCAGATCTGGGAGCAAATACCCCAGGGCACCATCTGTTTCATTAGGAGCATGACCTGATGTTGTCAGGCATGAATAAAAGCATGTGGGGGGGGGGGGGGGTGGGTCATACAAACTGAATACCATTTTTGAGTTGCTGCAATGAAATTTCAGCCAAATTGACTAGCCTGCCCTAGAGTTTTTTTTTTTTTTTTTTTTTTTTTTTTTCCCACTTTGATTTTTGGGGTCTTTGAATTCAGTCCTCGGTAGGATAATTTTCATTTCCATCAAATGATGGGGCATCCATACATTACCCAGTCTATATCTGTAAAGGGATCCAGCATGATTTTTTTTTTTTCTCCCCCTCCCATTTGGGATCTGATTTTTTTCAAAGTGTTACTTTCAATTTTTTTTCCGATCCCCTGCAGTTTGATTTGGCAGCATATTTATTTCAATGGGCTATATCACACAAAAAGTAGTACATGCACTGTTTGAACAACGTGCCACACTGAATCTCATGGTACTGCAGTACCATGCAATCTGGTACCTGTAAATGCACTGATTTGGGGTGCTCTTAAGTGTGGCATCCTAAGCAGATTACAAAGGAGGTGCAGGGAACACTCCTTTCCTGTACCACGTTCTGGTTCAAAACTTCTCTTAATGTAGAATTTGCAGTGCTGCTTGAAGTCTCTTGGACACTTTGGCTGCAAACTAGTTGAGACAAAGTTGGTGTAGACACTTTTTTTTTTTTTTTTTTTTTTTTTTTTTTTTTTTTTTTCTTATACCCAATCTGCTTTTTAAATTTTCATTTTCTAAGCGGTGTGCAGAGGAAAAAATGAGAGCGAAAATGATTGGTTGAACCTTTTCCTCCCCCTCTTCCAACCCTACTGAATGCCAAATGCAAAACAAGTCTTGTCTAACAATTACCTGACCAATTTGACTTACAAAAACCATAGGGCACAAGATGTCATGGCACAAAATGCCTAAAAGTTGTCATGTAATTACTGGCAAACAATCAATATTTTGCTTGTGTGTGCCTCTTTTTTGATACGTCCTTCACGGTTTTAAAATTTTTTTATTTTTCAATGCAGCAGTATACATGACCACACCAACTCGCACTGCTTCTTGAAGATTCTCCAAGGCAACCTGAAAGAGACACAGTATGAATGGCCGCAGAAAAAATCAAATGGCGCAATGATAAAAACATCTGAGGGGGTGCTGAAGTTAAATCAGTGTGCATACATCAATGGTAAGTTATTCATAGTTAAAATAGCAAACACTTTAAACATTTTAGTCACCTCCAAAGAGAGATCCCCTTAAAAGTGCAGCTTGTAAGCTCCACGAGCAGGGCCCTCCTATTCTTTCTGTACTGAAATGTATTGTAATTGTACTGTCTCCCTTTATATTGTAAAGCGCTGCGCAAACTGTTGGCGCTATATAAATCCTGAATAACCACTATCTTCTAGGGGTGGAGGAGTATTTTTACCAAATGCAGTTATTTGATTTGGCTGAAATGTTGAATAATCCTAAAGATCTTGTGTCGTCATTGCCTTGGTTCCTGTTTTCATGATTCACTGCAGCGCAAACAATTCTTTGTAAATCTCTATTGAACTTTTTGATATCCCATGACAGATGTGCCAGGTTCACTGTGTGTGTGTACAATTGTCTTTTTTGACGTGACCCTGGGAGGGCAGAATTGCAGCAACTGGCATTGCTTGTGTTTTAAGGTATAGGCTCCAAAGTTGTCATCCTGATCTTCGCTGTTTGCAGACTTCACAGGTTTGTCACACCAATGTCTTAACACCCAACCTGCAAGCTTTTTTCAGGTTAGTAACTCACTTTGTAGTGAAGTCACAACCAAGATAACAACCTTGCGGCTTGGAACTTTTTTAAAAGATGTTAGCAGAGGTATAAGATATTCTCAATGTGTTCTGCAATAAGGTGTTATCTGTCTGTGCCCTATATAACTGTATTTATGATTGAAAAATATTTATCCAAGTTTGTGACAAGTAGCTTGACTTCTGCATAGTTTACAACTGTACTGTCTGAGCTGTTACATAATCTTCAACAGTAAATGATATCTAAGGGTTTATGTTCAAGGTAAAAGTGTTGATTACATACATATTTCTACATATCTAGTTTGCAAAAACTCCCTTTTGCACAAGCCAATCATGTGTAGTTATGTTAAAGACTATAGCCTAGGCTTGTTCTGCACATTATACTATATGGTCACAAGTGAATAAACCTTTTTTATTATGTTTACATGGCCATAACTATTTCAACATAGCCATACAGTTTATCATCTTTCTTCTTCAGTTTGTTTTAAAATCATTCTATATAAGCAGTACTGAGCTTTGAGTGGTAGACGAATGTTTGACTGAATCAGCCTGCTTAATTAAAGGAATTTTATCTGGTGTAGGAAAGATCTGGAAGACAGACCTTTTTAGGCTTGTACAATAAAAAATTAGTCCCCCTAACCAATTTTTTTTAGCACACACAAATTCTTTGGAGTCCTTTTCACAAATGATGCCTTTTCGTCAAAACCATATGGTTTTTAAACCACTGCAAGCTCGTAATTCTTATGGATCTCTCATCTATCTCTACCTTTTTTAAAATGGCCCCTATTTCTGCTCTCAATAGGTATGATGGGCCTCAGTCAATGCTAGAGGTATTTTGTGAAGTTACATTCTGGCAGTAATTTTTGTCACAAAATGAAAGTGAGTGACACAGGTTCTTTCCTTAATGCATGCATCAAGGTTAAAAAAAAAAAAAAAATCTTAATGCTTTAGAACCAGACTCCCACCTTACCCCCCCCCCCCCCTATACTTGCCTGAGCCTGATGTTGATCCGGCGCTGTGCATGAGAGCTGCAGCTCTCCTGGCTCTGATGCCCCTCATTGGGCAGATTGATAGCAGCTGGAGCCCTTGGCTCCTGTCAATCAAATCCAGTGATGGAGAGCTGGAGGCAGGGCCAAGATCCGCTGTCTGTCAATAGATGCAGACAGGGAAGCTTAGGTGTGAGCCCACAAACTGTAGCTGCTGTGTGGGGTTTTTTTTTTTTTTTTTTTTTTTTTTTTTTTTTTTTTTTACTGCCACCAATTTCTGTCCTACAATCCAGTGGTGTACTCATGCAGCCGGTTTCACAAACCGTCCTTGCTCCACGGCACTGGCATCCTAAGTGTGGGCATCTGGCTGTGGCAGCTTGAAGCTTCACAGCTGGGTGCCCACTGCACATAGTCAATCAGTCTTCTGGGACCTGTCGTGGGGAGGACAACTTCTTGCTACCAATCACCTAGGCAATCTCAGCAGAAGTGAGTGGGTACCTGTCAAGATCGGGTAAAGCTCCCTGAAGATGCAAATTCCCCAGGAGGAGCAGGGGACCACTACTTTAAAGTGGAGCTCTGCTTTTAATATCACTTTAACTTTAAAAGCTTCAGGTGATTTTATAGTGATGTTGGGGCACTTGCAACTAAACCTGGGTACTGTCCATGATGCTATAGTGTGTGGTCCCCTAACATCTAAATTTTCAGTACAAGTTTCAGGTACTGCTTGGACCTTGAAAGGGGTACACCCCAAAAGCTTGTCCTGATTTTGTATGTTCACTAATGTGTATAGCATTTATACTTTTTTGCAGTTATTTCAGATGTAAAAATTGAATAATGGTCATGATTTTTTTTTCTTTTTGAACTGAAACTACAATTTAATTAATGCATGGAAATACTGAATACTGTCAAACCTGTGTGAACTGATAAAATAGCTGTCTCTGGATGACTGGGCATACAAGTCACACATTATGTTCAGCATGAGGTTGTTTATCATGAGAAGGGAATAAAAGTTGTGCAGAATCTATTAGCGCACAGAGAAAATACAGTAGAGTGAAGTTGTTTCTTTATACACTGTCTTCCTGTCAAACATGTTCTAGCCACTTGTTGACAGCTTTTGCAAAGATGGCACATTCTCTACATATTATTTTTGTGTTCTCTGGTGGCTGAAAACATCTCAAACTGGCCCCTCCCCAGGTAACTGCAAACAATGTTACATTTCCAGTGCCCCAGGGAGTTATGCTAGCAAATTCCATCCAGTGCTTGGATGACTGCTCCCTGGCCCTGTGCATACAAGCAGCCTGGAGGCCAGTTTGAGGTTTGCTTTTCCCTTTTTCCATTGCATTGGGGGATTCTTGCAAAAGACTTTAATGTTTGTTTGAAATGGTAATCGAGTTGAAAGTGCTATTACCCTAGCCAGAACGCCAGTCCAAGCACTTTGGGCATGGCAGGGCTGTGTGTGGATGGTGCCTACAGTCCTATTTCTTGGTTTTGTATTTAAGACTTCATGTTGCTATACTGCAAATATTTACCACTTGTAGTATTAAAGTCAAGAAGCACAGGATACAGATAGTGTCTAGTAACAATTTCTTACATCTGCTGCATCTTCGTCTCACATTGGGAAAATTTCATAAAGTGCAGTAAGTAATCAGGGAGCAACTGATGACGAATGAGCTACTAAGGCATGACAAATCTTGTGTTGAGTGGGGCTGGGTGGCATGTTCCCCTGGACCAGTATGAATACGATAAACTGTTTGTGGACTTTGATTAGAGATGCATGTATCTGTACCACATTCCACATGCAAGCTTGTAAATGCAGAGGGAGGTCTTCCAGCCCAAACCTCCCTTTGGCATGTGACCTCCTTTCACCATATCTAAACTTTAGTTTCCTACAGCAATTTTTCCCTGCTTTGAAAGGGTTGGTTGTGTTTTTTGCCCCCCCAGGCAAAAGGTTCACAATCCTTGAGACATTGTGATGGATTTGTGAAATATTCAGTATAAATGTAGCACAGGAGGCTCACAAACACAAGAATGTGTACACTTTTTGCTTAACTATAGCTCCAATACTGCTCTAGTTTGGACAAGTAGAATTGATTAGTGGCTGCTAGAGATGAGCGAAGTATTCAAAAATTCGATTCGGCTGATTCGGCGAATTCGAGGAATAAATTTTGATTCGATGCGAATATATTCGCTGCGAATTTAACTTATAAAAAGGGTTTCTAGGCTTAAGAGAGCCTTTATATTAGTGCAGAACACTGTACCTTTAATTTAAATGCCCTTGGAGTCTGCTGGGGAAGAGAAATAATACTGTCAGTTAGTATGACATGCAGATGAGTGCCGTCGATCTTAGAATCACCGCACACTTCACTCATTTGGGCAGTCACGGGGCCAAAACCAGAGTGTGGGGCCACAGTGTGGCGGTGGAGGCAGCAGCAATGGGAGGCCATACAACACCCTATGACAAAAATGGAACCCACCAGCAGTGTGAGGAGACCTGAAAGTGGCACATGGCAGAGTGGCGATGGAGACAGCAGCAATGGGAGGCCGTACAGGGACCCATGAGACACTCTGGACCTGGCAGCAGCATGAGGAGGCGGTACGGGGGCCCATGGCAGATTACGGGCCTGGCAGCAGCAATGGGAGGCCCGTAATCTGCCAGCACCCTATGACAAAATGGAACATACCAGCAGTGTGAGGAGACCTGAAAGTGGCACATGGCAGAGTGTGGCGATGGAGACAGCAGCAATGGGAGGCCGTACAGGGACCCATGAGACACTCTGGACCTGGCAGCAGCATGAGGAGGCAGGCAGAACCGCCGTATCTTTATCACGGTTTTCCCAGGCCACCAAATGGCGATGCTGCATATGCTGACGCAACGCTGTAGTCCCAACATGGGCCCCCTGGCCACGCTTGACTTTCTGGCCACATAGTCGACATACGGCTACGTTTACTTCCTCGGGCGGCTTGACAAAAAATTGCCACACCGCCGAGTAGGAAACTTTGCCCCTCCTCGCTGACTGCTACTTCCTCCGTGCACACCTCCGTGCACACCGGCACCACTACTGGCCGTGGTGGTAGGCTGCAGTGGAGCTGGTGCTCTACTCCGTGGCCGTTTGCCTCCACTGACACTGCTGCGACCCTGCTGCCTCCTGGGCAACCCACCAACTGTTTTGCTCGCTGCCAAGCTGGCACCCTCTTCTCCTGATGATGCGGAAGCAATAGCCTGATGACAACGGGGCTGCCAAGTGCGATCAGCCTCATCATAAATTAGGGTCTCCGTCTCACTACTAGCCCCCTCGGCTGCGTGTGGGTCAAAAGACAGACCTGTCTCTAGACCAGCTACCGAGCCACTCTCCTCGCCAGTACTTCTTCGCCTGGCTGCTGAAGAGGCGGATGTCTCCCCCCGTTCCTGACCACCCTCTGTTAGCTCTTCCTCACTGTACAGTGGGGCTGAGCCCACAGCATGCGATACTTCGCTTGGTGAGGGAACACCAAAGGACAGGGGCAGGTAGAGGACACGTGATTTCAGTGGGCTTGCTCCCGGGCCATGCCAACTAACAGTTGTGTCTGACGTACCCACCGACCGTTGGCTGTAGGTGTCAGAGGTGACCTGGGAAGAGGAAGACGACCGAGCCAACCAATCGATGACGGCAGGGTTGTCGGTGGAGACACGACCGCTGGATGACACCGGGAGCACTGGCCTCTGGCTGCGACTAGTGCTGCCTCGACCCCTTCCTCTGCTGCCACGTCTGCTCGCTCCTAAAACATTGCCTCCTCTGCCACTCCTCTGCATGTTGTCTGACACTCTTTAATTCAACAATTCTGTGTCCCTGGGTAACGGTTCTGTGTCTGTCCCTGAGTAACGGTTCTGTGTCTGTCCCTGAGTAACGGTTCTGTGTCTGTCCCTGAGTAACTGTTCTGTGTCCCTAATACAGAGAGATCTGTCTCTCTTGAATGACCAGAGGTAAATGGAGAATTGTAAGATGGCCGCAATTTATAGCTCCACCATTACACAGTGGCTGGCTGGCTGCTGATTGGCTAATGCGATCACATGTCATGAATGAATGCATTATGGGTCAGCGCGCCTTGTCTGCGCGCCTTCCCAGAGATCCCTGCTCCGTCGCCGCCATTTTTGGAAAAATTTTGAATTGAAATTTTTCTAATATTCAAAACGAATTCCACTTCGCCGAGTTCGATTCGCTCATCTCTAGTGGCTGCTATGCTATATCCAAGGGTTCATCTTCTAATCTGTTAATCCTTGTTTCTAGATTCCATTGGCCTTCACCGAGTGGAGAACCCAAGCCACACAGAGCCAGCTGTGAGCCTCCACTTGTATAGCCCTCCATTTGACCACTGTCAAACTTTTGACCAACGAACAGGGCACAAAAACACAGTGAAAATGACCTTTTGGAGCAAATATGGAGAACACGCTTCAGTGGTAAGTGTAAATGTAGGGATGTGGAGTATGGGGGGGAGGGGGAATGGTTAGACAGGAGGAGGAAGTACACATCTACAGAAATGGAGAAAAATGTGAGGGATTAGATGCACTAGAAAACTGGCAACTCTGCACAGGTGGAGGGGACACAACAGTGAAGCTGATCCATATTATCTTTTCCCACATATCTGAGCTCCTGGGTACTTGTCACTTCTATATACTGTGCTACAGCCTCATTCATTCCCATAAGTGACCATGATCAAGCAACTACTGCAAGCACCATGAGTATGGCTACCCAAAGAAATGATTTGGTGCTGCAGTGTGCATCCACAGAAGGAAGGGGAGCCAGATGGGACAAAAGGAAGACTACTGGATTGGGGCTGAAGGTAGGTATTCCAAGTGGGCTTGATTCAGGGATTTTAAAAAAAGTTGTGTGCATGTAGACACTGACAATGATCCTCTGTGTTGATAGATTTTCTAAACAGTCTTAACATACAGGACCACTCATTATTTTGTACATAAAAAAAATATGTATGTGTATAATATAAAAATACACATGGACTTATCTGTTGCTGATAGATGCAGTTTGACACTCCCCAAGTGTACAATGCTTTAACAGTTTTATGTATCTGTCCAGGGCACTTGATCTACACCAATGTATTACTGTATAAGATGGAAAAATGTTAATATTTAATGCAAAAACGTAGCTGTTATCCTGTTTTAAAATCAAGATTTTTAAAATTGTTTGTTTCTTTTTGTTTAACAGGCAACCATACAGTCACAGGAAAACAACTAGACCTGCCCAGAATGCTTTTTTTTTTTTTTTTTTTTTTATATTTTCCTTGCACTTTGCAACAGCCCAAATTATCATGTGCCCAAAGTTCTGGGGCAAATTTCCTTGCAAAGTGCAGCTTCCCTTGAAAAGTGAACATTTCATTTGCCTTTAGCAAATCAATGTGTTGTCATTTGCAAACCCTTTCAGCCTCTGGAATTTTTATTGACCAAACTGTACATACACCCTCAGTAGGATTTACAAAATGGCAGTTTTGGAATATTTTTAAATTTTTTTTTTTTTTAGCATGTTCCTCCTCAGGGCTTATACCTAGACTGGAAAAGAAACTTTATTTTTAACAAATTTTAACAAATTTTTACAAGGATCTGTATAATTGTGCATGTCCTTGACTTGCAAAAAATAGCAAGACATTTCTTCACTTGTAAAATTAGTTTACGGCTTTGAAACTGCCCTAATTCGTATGTATAGGTTTTTAACCATGTTGTAAAATTGTATATTTTTAGAAAAATAAAAAAAAAACTGGGTGAATTTGCAAACTTCAAAAGCAATAAAGTTCAAATTCATTATTTTGGTTTCTGTTCTTATTCATGTTCTATAACTTGGCCACAAATTTAAAAAAAAAAAACCTGACTGATTTTACAACTTTCTAATCTTCAGCTCTTTCTGTCAAATGTTTGTATGCTTAATTTTTCATATTCACCTGAATAATACAAAATCATTCTTACAGATGTGAACCTGTTGAGCTTTCCAACCTAATTTAAAGGGCAAATATTAGATTAATCACTTACAGATAAAGTGAATATACATAAGCAAATTACACATGAAATTGATATGGGGTTTTCGTAATCAAAGTGACCAAAAATACAGATTTGGCATATGGGAAAACACCTATGTTTACCAACACTTCACATTCATTAAATGATGATCTGGTATTCCAGACTGGGTGCCATTGATTAGAACCTCCTGTGGGAGTAGGCCGGTTGGTACCAGTCTTATTTTAAAACTGACATTTAAGGGTTTATTTACGTAAAAAATGGGAAAATCTGATGCAGACCTGCATAGAAACCAATCTGCTTCCAGGTGGTATTGTCAAAGCTTAACCCCTTCATGTCTAAGAGTAAAACAAATCTTAAAGCCTAAGCAAAACTTTACAACTTTGACATGTCAGTAAAACCATACATATCATCACCTACTTTGTACATCCAGGTGGATTATACTTTTTTTTTTTTTTTTTTTTTTTTTTTTTTTTGCTCTATGTAAGGAAAGAGGCTATCACAACTATCGTGTGACCCAGAGTTGGGGTCCCGATTGTTAGAACAGGGCTTTTCATTGACACCCCCAGTTTTTGTGCTGGGAGCACACTGGGCCACATACTGCCAGTACAAAGACAGGTACACAGATATGTGGCCCCGCAGAAAAGCACAGTTCTGTGAGGCTGCATATTTGTGACATTGGAATCAAGGGGTTAATAAGCTGACGTTGTCTACCATGTGCTCCCAGTTTTTTAGTAAATCTCCCCCTCTTAGGTTCTGGTGTTTTTGCTACTAACATATGTGTTGTCGTCATACAAAGATCAAAAATCTCTTTAATACCCTCGAGTTTTTGATGTCTGAATTGGGCAATAAAGATCACCAGCTTTTGATGCCAATGGCCCACAGTACACAATTTATTTTTGTTGCATAAATGATTGAACAGGCAATTTTTTTTATTTTTATTTGCTTGTTTTCTTATTTGAAAATATCACCTTTCATCTGTAGGCACTGTGAGTAAAGATCCAATGTTTTCCTGTTCAAATACATTAATGTCAATCATATCCATGGGGTGCACTTAATTTTTCACATTACTGTACATGGCCATCTTTAGTTCTGGACATTTATGAAGAGGAAAATATATGTATGAAACACTACTTTTTAGTGTCTGTCAGTCTTAACTTTTTGACCCAAGAGCACCCTTGTTATAATTTTCAGGCTTTGGGGAACCCCTGGTAAAACAATTAGTTGGAGATCATGAGAATTCCCCTTACACTGGAGCCTGTAAAACAAATACAGTGGTGGCCAAAATGCTACCTTAAGAGACAACTGAACTAGCAGACACCATCAAATGAGGGGAAATCTGCTACACCATGTGGTTTTGTGGTGTGGGTGTTTTTATATTTTTGTTTTGTCAGCTGACACAGATAGCAAACAATGTCCTGCCTTCTTTGTGTATGAGAGAATACTTCTGCATGCTTGTAGGGAGGAGGTGTTCTGTAGTCAGGGGTTCAAAGATACAGTAAATTGAGTGAATCTTTTCACTCTAGGAGAAAAAAAATGCTTACTTGCAAAAATCAAGAAGTAAAAATGATGAAAAGAAACCCCCTGAAATGTAGCCACCACATATAAGGACTGGTAAGCTGAAACAAAGCACATTTTTATTCATGCATTTAGATGCACTTTAAAGCAGAGTTCTAGTTGGGGGGGGGGGGGGAAGTCGGCTACAAAAACTGTAGCTGCTGACTTTGAAAAATAGACATTTATCTGTCCCTTGATCTAGCAGTGTCCTCACTACTGCTGGTTTCACTGGCAGTCTTCTCTCCCCGGCACTGGCATCTTCAGTGTAGACACCCAACTGTGACAGCTTGCAGCTTCATACCCAGGTGCCCGCTGAGCTCTCGCGTACCCTAGACGATTAGGGGGAGGGACAACTTCTGCTTCCGATCACCTTAGGCAATCACAGTGGAAGCAGGTGCCTGTCAGGTTTGGGTACCTGCTCCCCAAAGGTGCCATCTTAACGGGGAGCAGTGGACAAAGGCTTAAAGCAGAACTTCCCTTTTTGGGTGGAGCTCTACTTTATGTTAACAGATGAATGAAATCCCAGCTTTTCTTAGACCCCCCCCCCCCCCCCCCCCCCCCCCCCCCCCCCCCCCAGAGACCCCCCGACCCCCCCCCCCCCCCCCATTGGTTCACATGGTTTTTGCCATTATAAACCATATGTATCCTGTTTTCTGTAGAAATACCAAGTGGAACAGTACCAGGCAAAGCTGAAAGTTAACCTGTGTCTAGTTAAATGTAGCAGTGCCTCTTGCATTCCCTTTATAAGCACTGGTGCTGTTTATTTTATAATTAAGTGAATAAAAGTTATGTTTATAATGGCACTTTTATGCAAGCTTATCTAAAGTATTGTTAATAGTTGGGAGATGAAGAGCAGCAACCAGGAAAATGTAAACCTAAAGTAGAACTAAAAATCAAGGCTTTTATTTTAATTGTACAGGGCATAGGCAGCTTATTCATATACTATGAGTTTCCATGTACCACTACCTGACCCACTACGTTATGTGTACTCCACAGGGGAATACCCTCACTTGTGGCTATAGCAGAGACCAGACGAAAGGGAGCTAACTGTACACAGCAGGCAAACATTCACGCTTCAGAAAACCCACACAACACTCAGCCTCAGAGTGTCTCAGGTTTTGACGTGCACTTGATGTCAACTCTTGAACTTCCAAACCTCTGTACAGGATGGGGGACCTCTGTGGGGTGAATCTGCCCATTTTGCTATGGGAGACAAATGAAAAGGATAGCAGTCAACATTGCACTTGCAGAGGTTACACTTGCATGCCTTGAGTATCTGGATCTAATTCTAGATATGCCCCGGGCAAATGTATTTCCTCCAGAAAAAGGTTTTTCTCTAAGAGCTCATGCTTGACACCTGAAATGAAAAATAATTCCTACAATGACATTTGCCATTTAGAGTTCTGGTTGCTTCCTTCAAGGTAGTACTGTTTGCCCAATTCCATTCAAGAAATCTCTAACAAAACATTCTATCAGCATAGAAAAAGTTCCTCCTTTCCTTTTGGATATTTTCTCTCAAAAAGTATTGTCCTGGTGGATCATCACTTCAACTCTGACAGTGGGAAAGGCTTTCCTCCCCTATAATTGGAAGGTTCTTACAACTGAAGCAAGTCTATCAGGCTGGGTAAAGATCTTCCAATCCTTGACAACTCAAGGAACCCAATTCAACAGGTGCAGTCAGATCATGCAACCACAATGACATATCTCCCCCATCAAGGGGGCTTGAGGAGCCTGGCTGCCTTGAAGGAAGCAAACTGGATTCTCTCATGGACAGAAACTTTCTGTTCAGTGATTTCTCCAATCCACGCCTCAGGAGTGGATTGTTTAGACTAAAAAAAATGGTCTCTTCATTCAAATGAGGATAAATAGTGGCACACAGGAAGGGTTAATATAATTTTCTGCACCACAGATGTTAAAAGTTCATCAGTACA